AGCAGGAATTGCTTCACTTCGCTTTCACGTGATTGTTAATTGATAGAAGTAAACGCATATAATGTCTAATGGCGAAATAAATAGCTGACTAAAATTATTAATATCAGTAAAAATGCCTTGACGATGCAATATTCAACGCTTATCATCTTGTTCAACGACTTAATCCGCATTGCATTAATGGTAAAGTACAGTTTCGCGATGAATCGCGTTTTTATTCGTCGTCGTCGCGACTTTTCACAAAGTGAAATTCTGTGGAATTATGTTTTGTCAAAGTGTCTTGAAAACTATGCTGGAACACGATAGATTTCGTTCATACGTGCTGGAACGAAAATTTTTCGCATACTTGCTGCTGATAATATTCGCAAAACCGACTGATGTGAGTCATTCTTTGTATCCGAAATAACGGAACAATGAGATCAATGAAAGCAACGTATGTATTATAAACCGCCTAAAACTGGACACGATTCTATTATTATTATATAATTCTATTATTATTATATGATTCTATTATTGTTTCGCTTACATCATCTGCGATCGGAGACATAATCTGACTGGGCAGTAGAGAAAGATCTATATGACACATACACTGCGAATGATACGGTTCGTGTCTTAATTTATTCATTTTTCTCACACATACGCAAATACGCCGTCATAAAAGATTAGCAGACACATGCCATTCTTTCGACACAGAAGTGGGGAAGTGCTGATTTAAATGCTGATCTCATAAATAAAACAGAACACAGCGTAACACAGTACACTATGCAATTCAATTAGAATGAGAGTACTAATTTTTTTCTACGACAAAATTCAAATGTTTGTTCAATGTCCACGACAATCCCAAAAAATTTATCGTTTTTGTCCTATATTTTTTATTTTCAAGCGACTATTATTTTACAAAGTTTTACCAAAAAGTTTCCGCGAATATAGTTGCGAATAATTAGTTTGACTGTCTATATAATTGACAAAGAGAAATTATTTTTTGTGCCACTTTGAGTTAAAAGATACAATAAATAAAAAAAATTATTTAACAAGCCAACTTTATTCTCTTCATCTTTGTCAATGGGAAGGCATTTTAACGTAAAATTATTCTCAATTTCTTTTTTGTATTGAATTGATGAACTCTACTTGTTTTCTTCCTATAAATGCATTATCTGCACATTCTTTTTATCAATTCTGTGCAGTTAAGATACGGAACGACATTCAGATAATTATTAACCTCCGTTATGTGAATATACTTTAACTTTAGTAATGATTCACGAATTGCGGAAATGATAAATTTATCATATTTTTTTTATATTTATTTAATAAACGTTATTTGCACAGTAGCTTAAGAACAGAGTTTATGATAATGAAAGTGTTTACCGCCATTATCTACAAAATTATGCTTTGCTACGTTATATTTTGACTACTGTAACCGCATATCATTCTCTATAACGATCGCCTTGACTAGTTTGTTGTTTGCGGACAAAAACCTATAACAAAAACCTATTACCCTAAACATTCGTAATTTTGCAAAAAAACATCCATTATACTCATTCAAGAGCATTCACAATACCGGTAAGAGAGCAATTGTTGCAGCCTTCATATGTTATATAAACCATCAAATAAAAAAACAGCTCGAACTTTTTATTGATGTCACTAATTATATATTATATATTAATAAT